ACTTACATTCCATTGCTAATAAGCAGTGTTGCTGTTCACTTTAACTTGTTGAAACTAGGGATGCCTTTGTAAAAAAAAAAAAAAAAAAAAAAAGTGCCCGTATCATTTCTCCTCAGTTCTTTGATGTAGAGTATATCTCAAGTTCAGATATAGGGTAGGGTAATCCAGCAAAGAGCACAAGTTTAAATATTTTCAAGCCTTTGGCAACTTCTTAACATTTTGTTGTTGTTCTCTTTTTACTCAAAGAAAATTTAATTATATCTATGGCTTTCGGAAAGTACTAGAGCAAACAAAATGAACACTAATGAAATAATAAAACATCCTCAGTTGGAGAGGAAGGCTAGTGTTTTTATTTAGTGAAAGAGACCTAGAAGAGATCTCAGACCTTCTAGTAATGTCATTATTATAGATGCTGAGGCCCAGAGATATAAAATAACTTCTCCAGAGTAACACTGCTGTTTAGTGACAGAATCATAATGAGAAGCCTTCAGTTCTTTTTATAGGACATGCGTTAATATACTTAACCTTTAAAATTTTCTCTCAAGTTTTTTTCTGATTTTGGGTGGTGGGATATACATAAATAACTGTCATCAAAGATGTCTGTTCATACTCAGTAAGATTCTTTTGGTTGCAAGTAGCAGAAACCAGTCAACAAACAAATCTAGCCAATAAATGGGGTGTGGAGGAGAACTTAGAAAGGGTCTCAGACTATTTCCTAGAATTTAAAGAAGAGCAAATGGCCAAAGATAAGAATTGAGCCATTCCAAAGCCTTTGGTAGGATGAGTTTGTGTGGCTTCTCTGCAGAGTACTGGCAAGGCAATTTCCTTCTAGCAATTTGTGGTGTAAACCCCTTAGTTGAACATTTCAAGCACAGGAATGAGCAAGCACAGACACATACCAGAAGCCATTGCTAATGCCATTCCCACCACCTTCAGCATCTTCCTTATCCCCACCCACCCCAGTCTGAATCCCCCTCATTTTTCAAGGTCCAGCACAATCATTTCTTTCTCTTCAAAACTTCTTGGCTGGGCCCTCCTGCCTATAAATCTAGCATTTTGGGAAGCCAAGGCGAGTGGATTACCTGAGGTCAAGAGTGTAAGACCAGCCTGGCCAACATGGTGAAACCCTGTCTCCACTAAAAATACAAAAATTAGCTTGACGCAGTGACAAGTACCTGTAATCCCAACTGCTCAGGAGGCTGAGGCAGGAGAATCACTTGAATCCAGGAGGTGGAGGTTGCAGTGAGCCAAGATCATGCCACTGTACTTCAGCCTGGGTGGCAACAGAGGCTTAGGGGAAAAAAAAAAAAAAAAAAAAAGACCACTTCTTGATCCCTAGCTCGACATAATCTCAGAGACAGACAGAGAGAGAGAGAGTGTGTGTGTGTGTTTGTGTTTAATCCCAGTACTCTGTGTGTGTCTTTGTTTTATAACCTTTAACATATTCAACTTGGCAGAAGAATCTCACAGTTCATGTGGAATAACCAGTAATTGGTCAGTTAAATTAAAAGATGGGAAATCATAAAAATTATACCAATATGCAGTTCCTACTTGCCTTAAACATTTTATCTTAAACTTTATTAATGTACATTTAGTTGGCCGGGCGCAGTGGCTCATACCTGTAATCTCAACACTTTGGAAGGCTGAGGTGGGCAGATCACATGAGGTCAAGGGTTCGAGACCTGTTTGGCCACCATGGTGAAACCCCGACTGTACTAAAAATACAAAAATTAGCTGGGCATGGTGGCGTATGCCTGTAATCCCGGCTACTCAGGTGGCTGAGGCATGAGAATCGCTTGAACCCAGGAGGCGGAGGTTTTGGTGAGTCTAGATTGCACCACTGCACTCCAGCCTGGGTGACAGAGTGAGACTTCATCTCAGAAAATAAATAAAATAAATGTACATTTAGTTGCTGACATATATGTAGGACAAGGCCTTTGCTTTGAATATAGGATACTGACTGACCATCTGCTTTCTTTGTTTTTCAAAAATTAAACCCATCGTTTAGTTTTCAAATTCTTTTTTGAGACAGAGTCTCCCTCTGTCGCCCAGGCAGGAATGCAGTGGTGTGATCTCAGCTCACTGCAACCTCAACCTCCCAGTTTCAAACAAAGCCACCCAAATAGCTAGGACTGCAGCCATGCACCACCATGCCCAGGTTTGTTTGTTTGTTTGTATTTTTAGTAGAGACAGGGATTCCCTGTGTTGCCTGGGCTGGTCTGAAACTCCTGACCTCAAGTGATCTGCCGTCCTTGGCCTCCCAAAGTTCTGAGATTACAGGTGTGAATCACCTCACCTGGCTCCATCATTTAGTTTAGATTTTCCATTTTGGTTTCTTTGAAAAGGAGCAAGAACTTAGACACTGTGAAACTATCTAAATACAGACTCTTTCTAGACTTCTTTGCTTCCCTTCCAGTCTCTGGTTGTCTCACCTATACCTAATTTGACAGTATTGTGTTACAGCTTACTTTATATCATCTTACCAAAGCATTCTACATAGTCTTTATAGAAACACCCCCCAAACTCCCTCCCATACTCGTAATTGGCTTATGTAATATATAATCAAGTTACATAATTATTAAAACTAATATAAACAAGTTCTAGCATAGTTTGAGCAGAAGTGTGTGGGAGTGCTAGAGATTAACCTATTACCCACTAGTGTATGGTGAGCTGTGGGCATCTGTGGCTATATTAAATAGCAGACAGGGACTTGAGAGCCTTTGTTAATCTAGAAGTGAGTTAAGTAGAAGTGTATCAAAACTGCTTCTGATACAGTAAAATGATTTATATGCCTGTCTTACCATCCTGTGAGACCAGCACTCTCAAATGTGGTCTGGGAACTGCTGTGCAGAGGGGTCCCCGAGATCCTTTCAAGGGATCAATTATGTCAAGACCATTTTTATAATTATGCTAATGGCTTTTTCATTTTTTTCACTCTCATTCTCTAGAAATTTCTTAGTTTTAGTTTCTAATATGGTAGATATTGGCAGTTAAAATGTATAAACAGTTCTTCTGGGGTCGTCTATACTTTTTTCGTTTTAAAAACATTTAAATTTAGGTTTTTTAAAAAATTTATTTTTTAATAAGTAAAATTTGTGCATATTTATTGTACATAATATGATGTTTTGATATATGTGTATATGTGGAATGGCTAAATCAAGCTATTCAGATCTATACTTTTTAACTAATACATGCCACAGAAGGTTTGAGAAAGTCTGTGCTCCTTGAGGGTAGCAACTGTGTTTCATTTGTTGTTTCTGATGTACTGTTGCATTATCTTTTATATAGTAGGCACTCAGTAAATATTGAATAAGTGTATGAAAATAAAAAATAATTTTTCAAGTATTTATGGTCTTTTAAACTGGGCCAACAAACTAGTTTTAAGTAAAGGTTTCTGTATTAATGAATAGGATAAATAATTAACAGCAGTAATGTGCAAGTGGGTGCTTTTAAATACTTTGAAAATAAAATTTAATACCTTTCCTTTGAAATCTTAAGCAGTGTTTTGAAGAAGACAAGAAGTGTGGTTTAGTGGAAAGAATATGAAAATGTGTTTCTATGAGGCTGTAAAAAGAGAGCAGGCAAATCATGCCTGGGGGCTGCATCAGGAGTAAATTCGCCTTTTAAAAATTTATTTAAGAAGAGAAGGGGAGAAAGGCAGTAAACAGAGATCTCAGGTTACTTAAGAAATAAAATTTCTTCTTACCTTGGTGTAAGGTAGTCATGCTTCTCATCATCGCATTTTCTGCATCTACTTGAGATTTGTTGCGAATGTTGCATTAACGGACCCCAGGGACATTGATTATATACAGTGCATTTGTAATTAGTACGTACAGAGTCCCCTAGATTTTGGAGACATCCAAAAAGATTACTAGAAAAAGATGTTTTAGTATAAATCATGTAGACATGGTTCTGTATACATTCTACATTTTGATCAGTTTGTCTGTCTCCCCCAGTGAACTATTTGCTTCTTGAAAACAGTACTGTGCCTTAATCATCTTGATTCCACAATGCCTAGATGGGGCCTTTTGCATAGCAGACATTTTGCTAATGTTAGTGGAATGAATGAAGTAATTCTCTCTGAAAAGATGAATCATAAATATACTACTGATGAGCCAGGGAATTTCCTGAGTCTCTTCTTAAAACCTAGGTGAATTCTTGTGGGAATATGACTGAATCTTAACTGTTTCTAACCACAGTCATATATTTCCAGGGTATAATAAAGTTGATACCATTATGAGTCATTTATATGAGTATTAAACAATAAGGTAAGATCCGTCAAGTGACCACACCACAATGCTTGGTGGCTAATAGGCACACAATAGATGATAGCCTTTGTTTCCTTCTTCTGATTGTCCTAGGTTTTATGTCAGGGTCACTATCAGAATTACTAAAGATAGGAGAAATTGCATTTCTGTTTGGACAAATAAAGCAGTTAAAGATTCTGTTTCGAAATGCCCAGATTTATAATTCTGTAGGAAAACAGAAGTCAGAGCAACTGGCAGGCTCAACTGGTATACAGTATAACCCAGACAGTGGACCTGCCCAGTGTCACAGTGTTTTCTGGGCTGGCTGTTCTGGTCACAAGGTATTTGAGAATTTTATTTACACATACAAATGGTCTTTGATTTAGTGGTTTAGACTAGCTGTGTTTTCAGAAGTTACTTCTTTGTCAAAGACGATAGCCTTTATACTCTTTAATTTGATTTTATGCCCATTTAAGCCAGCTTATTTAGAAGGAGGTAAATGTGTTAAAGCTGTTACTGGCAAAGGGCTGCAGCAGCCTAATAAACAAACCTGAGAGGAACCCAGTTTGTTACTAGGCCAAGAATAAGGTTTCTCTCTATTTTGACCAGTGAGATTCCTAAAACTTAACTCTTTTTTTCTTGATTTTTGTTATTAACTATATTTAATTGTCATATTACTGTGTTTAGGGTGTCAATATAGTCTTGAAAATGATGTGCTATCTCTGAATACTTTTTTTTTTCTTCCCATTCAAGATAAGCTGTCTTTGGAAGGAATAGTAGTACAAAGAGCTGAATGCCGACCAGCCGCCAGTGAAAACTACATGCGATTGAAAAGGTTGGTGTTTTGTAACTCCAAGATGATACGTGATATTTCTCTTTGGGGATTGAGATACATGTGTTGTATCGCCTGGTTGACTGCATGAAAACTGTGGTTATTGTTGAGTGTTTGCTTCAAAAGCTGTTTGGTTTTAAAAGCAAGTAAGGGTTTCTTTGGCACTAAAGAACTTTCAGTATCTGGGCTGTTTATTTAAGGTATTTTAAGCTCCTTTGTTCATATATCCTGGAATCAAAGTTTTTAAACTACGTTTTCTAGTTGTCTTTATAAATTTTGATTATTTAAAGACATGTAATAAGATCTTTGTACTATTTTGTAAACAGATCATGTAAAATGATCCTGGATGTCATTTTTCTATAATAAATATGTATCCAAAATACTGCAACTGGGCCAGGCATGGTGGCACATGCCCATAATCCCAGCATTTTGAGAGGCTGAGATAGACGAATTGTTCAAGCCTAGGAGTTCAAGAACAACCTGGGCAACCTGGCGATACCCTATCTCTACAAAAAGAGAAAAATTAGCTGGGTGTGGCTGAGATGTGAGGATTGCTTGGGCCTGGGAAGTCAAGGCTCCAGTGAGCTGAAATCATGCCACTGCACTCCAGCCTGGGTGACCCAATGAGAACTTGTCTCCAAAAAAAAAAAAAATTATGCTGTGTAAAGCAAGTGTAGTTGCCAGAATATCATCCTATTCTCTTCATCTATAGAGAAATTTTTATAAACACTTTATTAGAGAGTTTGTTTCAGAATCTGCCCCTGCCCCCTACATTTTTTATGTGGTTAATATTTTGTAATTAGTATTTGAAGTTACTGATTACAAATTCTTGATACTCCAAATTTTATGACATTCAGAGTTCAGCAATTTTTTAAACCCTGAAGAAATATATTATACCTGTTTCATAGTTTATTTTTAATGTGATTTAGCCCCATGTGATTTAGGATTATACTTTTTTCATTTATTCATTCAGTTCTTACTATCCGCCAGGTGCTTTTTTAGGAGTGAGAGAAATAGCCGTAAACAAAGCAGACAAAAATCTCTACCACAGATTCCACTGTAGCAGATTGAGGTACACTGAATCGGTAGTGGAGAAGACACTGCTGAAGCAGTGGTAGTGGCCTCCTGGATATCAGCATTCTCATCTAGAAAAGGGGCCAGTTGAGCTGGATCATCTGTACATTTTGCAGCATCTTTAAAAGTTTCCCTCTTCTCTGTCTCAAAAAAAAAAAAAAAAAAAGTTTCCCTCTTTTGTCAATTAGATTAGACTCTATCTCCTGAGAATGACATAGACTTGCTGTCTTGTCAAATAATTTCTCTAATTTAAATGCCTCCTTGGGGCAAATAAAAGAAGGCCAAACAAAATGAAAAATATTTATAACAGAAAATGGCTTTGGAAAACAGGCAGAAGATGTTTCTTTTATTGTTTTTAGTTTATACAATTTATTATATAATAAATTTTTGAAGTCTTTTTGAAAATTTATCTCTTCAAATAACTGCTGAAATTGAAAAATGCAAAATTTGGTTACCAAGCTGCGTATCAAGATCTTTTTCTGTGACCCTAATTTTCTTTAAAGGGTTCTAAAGATTTCTGATGATGAGATCAGGCAGGTCACCTGCTGTGTTTATAAAACAGCTGCTATTTTCCTACCAAAAAAAGTGAAAATTGTTTAGCCTTTCAAATGTGCTGAAAAATCAGCTGTTACATAGTCATGCACTATATAAGGATGTCTTGTGGTCTCATAAGATTATAATACTGTATTTTTTCTGTTCCTTTTCTGTGTTTAGATACACAAATACTTAAAATTGTGTTATAGTTGCCTACAGTATTCATTACAGTAATGTGTATACCATCAAGGTTTGTGTAAGTGCACTCTATATTTGCACAACAATGAAATTGCCTAACAATGCATTTCTCAAAATGTATCTCCATTGTTAAGCCGTGTATGGGAGGCCGAGGCTTGAGCCCAGGAGCTTGAGACCAGCCTGGGCAACATAGACAAACCCCATCCCTACAACAACAACAACAACAACAACAACAACAACAACAATTAGCCAAGTATGGTGATACATGCTGAAGTGGGAGGATGGCTTGAGTCTGGAGGTCAAGGCTGTGGTGAGCTGAGCTTGCACCACTGCACTTCTGCCTGGGCAACAGAGCGAGACCCTGTCTAAAGAGAAAAAAAAACCAATCGAATAATTTTAAAAACTCAAAGGTTTTATTTATACATATATATGTGTGTGTGTGTGTGTATATATATATATATATATCTTTCTTGTGAACTCTCTGATATTTTCACTTTAAGAAAGGGGAAGCACAGGATTTTTTTCAGTAGCTAAGTGTTGTCTTACCCTGAACATCTCTCGTTTTCTTTGGAATTCCCCATCTCTTCTGCCTGCGCTCTTGTTCCTTGATTAGTGACTCTCTAAACATACCCAAATGTGTGATTTTTAATATGTGGGGCTTTTTTAATCAAAGGTCTTTTTTAATCAAAGGGATGTGTGTGTGTGTGTGTGTGTGTGTTTGAGAGGTGTCTTGCTCTGTTGCCCAAACTGGAGTGTGGTGGCATTATCTCAGCTCACTGCGACCTCCGTGCCCCTGGCTTCAAGCTATTCTCCTGCCTCAGACTATGGAGCACCTGGGATTATAAGCATGTGCCACCACGCCTGGTAATCTTTTTGTATTTTTAGTGGAGACGGGTTTGCTCCAAGTTGTCCAGGCTGGTCAAGTGATCCACCTTCCTCAGCCTCCCCAAGTGCTGGGATTACAGGCATGAACCACCGTGCCAGACCAAAGTTTGTTTTTGCTTTTAAGACATTAGAACAGGAAGTCCCTTGAGGGAGTCTGACCTCATCTTTTTCGGCTGCCACTCTAACTCAAGTGTGCACCAGATCAAAGCCAGCCATTCTTACTCTCCCCCAAGTGCATCAAGTGCTTCCATGTCCTAAATGTCCGCAGTGCTCTTGGTTGCTTTAAAATTCAACTAAAATGGGAAATCTCCCTGACAGTTTATTCCACATAGAATAAGTACCATGTCCTCCAAATTCCTGCTACACTTTTTTTTAATAAACCATTAATCACAGTTTGCTTTTTATTTTACTTTTATTACTTTTGTTTATGTCTCTGCTAGATTGTGAGCTCCTTGAGGTCAGGGACTGTATCTTGCTCATCTTCATTCTAACAGCTTTATGTTCAGTTAACACTAGTAGAGTAACCAAAGATTAGCATTTTAAAGTTAAGGATTTATAGTTATACCTTGGTAATGAATCTCCAGAATTGATACTCTTTTTTAGCTGTGTTTAAAATTCAAATTATAAATCCTTAGAAGCAGTATTGGCATGTGGTGGTGTTTCTACAAAGCCTTACAGCTTTGCAGGATAAAAATACCTCAGCACACAGTTTCTCTTTGTTCACTCACAGTTGAAAATCAATAGGGCTAACCTGAGGCAAAATTGTGAAGTATGGAAAGTTTGTCTTTATTATCCAGGCATCTTCTTTTTTCACTTTTTCCCTTTAGCAATGTCTGTCTTTAGGCATCTACTTTTTATCTTGTTCTCATCTTTTCTAGCCTGTCCGTTCTGAATACATTTTAAGAATGAATGGGCAGAAGTCAAACTGGGTATTTGGTTTTAAATCTTTTATTACTAAGTGTGAAATAAAAGGCATTGGATTACCTGTTCAAGGAATTTGAGTAGGCAGATATTTTCCCCCCATGGGAAAGAAACTTACTGAAATTAAACCATTTATAGATTGGCCCCAAACACAAATTTAAGGAATCGTTTTAGTTTGCTGGAGGATTTGTCACCAGGACAACCATATCTGCTTCGTGGGCCAAATGGGCAGATCTGACCTAGCTGCATTTGTTGGAGATCTGTTCTGAGGATTTAAAATGAGTGCTGAAGGTGACCTACAAAAGTGGCCAAATTCCCTTAGGCAGGACCAGGACAGTCACTGACTAGTCCATATGGCACCTTTGTACATATTAGAAAAAGGTGCTCCTTTCTCAAGTGTTTTATTTTTGTCTGTCAGAAAATTGTGGTAATTTACAGATTTTGTTAAACAAGAAATTGCTGCCATCTGCCAGAAAATTAACACTATAATTGCTGTCACTGATGTGAATGTGCCCCTTTAACACAACATCATTGTGCACTACAAAACCGGCCAATCTAAGAAGGGGCTGCACCCTACAGTTTGCGGCAGGCCAGTGTGTCCTATTTTCTTATCAGTTTACTTAAAAATTTTTAAATAATGCAGTAATTGAGGACAACCCATATTAGGAAAAAAAAGAAATTAAAAAAAAATTTTTTTTTTATAAACTTGCCTGTCCTTGCAGGCACTAGAATTTTCAACTCTTGGTCTTTGATTTTTCTGAAATATTTGAAGATGCAGGAAAGATACCACATGTTCTTTTCAAGAAAAAGGGTCTCATTTAGGAAATTGGTGGGGTGCTGAAAGGTCTGGGATTATTAAATACTGTTAATCAAGTCTTTAGCTTACTATTAGGAAGAACCAATTTAGGCTTTGGGATGATCATGATTTAAATATTCTTAGTAGCTTATCACTGACAGTACAGAAACACCTGACTCCTAAGTTTGTTACATGCTATCTGTCTTGCTTGAGACTCTAGTACAATTGCCATGGGATGCATTGTAAAAAGACTTGAATTATTTAAGGAATCTTTGAGTTTATAAGTAGAGAAAGAGAAGATGTCGGTTTAAATAAATTAGTTACAGGCAGAATGGTTCAGCCTACATAGTGGGTTCCTCACTTTTATATGGCTTCATATTATATGAATTAGAAGTTCTGCTTCGGCCTCCTGAGTAGCTGGGACTACAGGCGTGTGCCACCACGCCTGGCTAATTTTTGTACTTTTAGTAGAGACGGGGTTTCACCATACTAACTAGGCTGGTCTTGAACTCCTGACCTATCCACCTCAGTCTCCCAAATTGCTGGGATTACAGGCGTGAGCCACCGCAGCCAGCCATGACTATTCTTCCAAAAA